ATTTTTGGGGGGCGCAAAAATAAAAAGGGGGCGCCGATCCCGCGCCGAATTTTGAAAGTAGGTGGGAAGAAACGCATTCGAAGAAATATAGTTACTAATTCCGCCAAGGAAAGATGTGTTTATAGACTTATAAACAGACTAAGCGCATAGGCGACAAAGTGAGTGAGTATATTAAATTGCAAACTATTTTGTCTAACCGTATTTGCTACCTCACGACTCACACGAAATCACTCGTTCATATAGAAACATGATCAGTGATCACACGCAATGTCTCATTACCGGAATATTGATCAGGCTTCGAAGCGATCACGGGAATCATGCATATGCGTGGGGTCCGTGTGTTATTGTATAAAAGTGCTGTAAGTTGTAAATGAATTCAGATCAGTAGAGAATAGAATTGGGATTAGATTAATTGCTGGAAGTGGTTAGCATTGCCTAAATTCAAACCAATTTTCAAATTTCGACACGTTGTAATGCCGTTTCCTGACCATCAGATTTCTGTCAAATCTTCCCCCAAAGTCCAGGAAATGGCATTTCAGAGACTCTAAATTCAAAAATTTTCCCGGGGGGCATGCCCCCGGACTCCTCTAGACAAATCTCGCACCTGCGGCGCTTGGCTCGTGCCTTCGGCCCTCGTTTATCAAGGGTAATATTATAAGGGCGCATATTAGTTGCCAGCCGACTGGCCACCCCAGAAAAATAGTACCCAGCACGCCACTGGAATAAGTGCATTGATAAATAGCACAACGGCCATAACCTAGCCTATATGCGCTAAGAGGAACGAATCTAATGTATGTTCAGACCTTGTCCATGGGCAGCCATGGCAAAAGACATTTCCCGTAGTTGTTTTCCAGTCCCATTTTCACTAAATTTTCCAAATTGTTTAATGTGTGTGATAATCACTGCTTCTCTTAATTTGGGATTTTTTCTATCCAAACTAACTTCACATAGGCCCACTTACTTTTACAACTTTGTCCACAGCCTCGAAAGCAGAGTCACTTAAACATGTTACAATATCTGGATTACATTTTTGTTGGTCAGATAAAGAAAATAGGTCAATCTGACGGAGAGGTGACACCTAAAATTGAATAAATATAACATTTAGTCTGCGTGATCACGTATAGATTCTGATTCTACAAATAGATTCTAATCATAATTTCTATGCACACCAGGTAATTATAATTTTGAGATTTTGCTTATAGATGAGATGAATGCATTTTTACAATTCTAAATTCTTGTAACCATGCAGACAATAATAAATGCTACAAGTCATCATTCAGAACATACAGTTCGACGTGCGATTCCTGCGGGCTCACCCAAGTTAACCACAATAATTTTTATGTCACTTGCATGTAACCGGCATTTGGTCAAAAATTGACTTGTTCACGAGACTATAAAACTTTCGATTAAAAAACGACGAAAAACAGCTATAAAAACTCAACTCTTTATTTTACAAATCCATGCTCGAATATTACGAAAACACTGTCTTGGCTACGCCCCTAATTTATGCTAAAATGTCTGTTCGCCTAATTTATGCAAATTAAATGTCAATATATACATATACAGTCACTTCTCCACATGATTAATTCTAGAAATTCACACACTTTATGTCGAGACTCTGTTTACAGGGAACTATGCATAGCTTATCGACTAGAATAGTGAAGGATTGTGCATGCATGTTTTTCATTGAGGATAGGCAGGCAAACAGAATTCTGTTAGCCTTCTGAAGTTACGTTTCACAAGGCAACGAATTATGGTCATATGGCATGAGTACATGTCAATGCCAACATTAAATGCACAATTATACAATACCTTGTGTATTCTAATCTTAAATTTAATGATGAATTTATTGTGCCACAGTTCTTTAAAGATCTCCGGGAGAGACAATGATAACAGTTCGGTCCAAGCCTACACAAGATAATTACAATCAAAATTACTCTTCACGAGTGGCAAAAAGCGCTTAAAAAGATAACGAAGACAAGTACACCATACATATATTCTCATAATACAAAAAGAAAAGGACACTGTCACAGGCACACAGACAGTAATATATTTAACTGAATATAAGGAAAACTGCAGAGTCTAATACAACAGATCTTAGGGCAAAATATTAGATTCCATTTTATGACAGAATGACATATTTTTATTTTATTTACCAACCTATAACACGGAAAATATTTTTAATAGGAAGCTTCCAAAGTACGTACGTCCCTACATTCCACCACTCTACAGGGTGTATAAAAAAACTGAACAGATTTGAAATTGCTCTCAATTTCGTAAAACAGCTATTGGGAACTTATAATGTAGAATAATGAAAAAATATTCTCGAACTCAAATTTTGTATACCGGGGGGGGGGGGGGGGTCTTTTCCAACATACTAAAAGTGGCTTGCGCATGAGATTTAACAAAAACTTGATACCACGAGCTGTTTTGCGAAATTGAGAGCAATTTTGAATCTGTTCAGTTTTTCTTATACACCCTGTATACTAAAGTATGTCCTGACAGTACTGACCTGCAATTCCTCGTTCCATTCATTATCCCTACAATTTTCAAGGTAAATTGTAGAAAGCTTCGCATTCATAAAATTATAAACAAGCGCATACTGCTCTTTGTAAAATTCTAACATTTTCGGAATATCTGTCAACTGGTATGGCGTGGAAAGGTTCTCATCGGGATCATTTTCATGTTCCAATAACGCAGATTTATTGTCAAGATCAATTCCTTTCTTTTGAAGGTCAATAGCAGTAACTAAACACTCTACCAAGCGGCAAAGAACTTCAACTTGGCTAAGTTGAAGATGTTGTTTTACATTTCCCACAACGCGCACTAAGTTATTAAGTAAAATCAAGGTCTCTGGGAGTCGATCCTGTGGAAAATGTTCAGGGCTGAAACAGAGAAAAACAAACATACGATTATGGTAAAACTACGGGAAATATTTTCAGAATGGCATTTTTAATTTATTTTTTTATTGAGTTTTACTAATTGCCAATTTTTTGTGATATTTCACTAAGTTTAGCCCAAACTAATCCACAGTACTAATAATGAGCATGAAGTCTTAAAACTATGTATAATGCAGCGACTTTTCTGTGCATCATATTTTCGTGTGTCTCACGTCTCACAACAGTCTAGGACCTGTGTAGGAGTTTGTATGCGTTTCATTTACCACAGGTAATCTCAACTGTTTTAGGGTAAAATTACCATGGAGGTCAACATGGCATATGTGCCAAAACCTGAATCCAGGACGAAAGCCCTGTAAATGACCCCGACCTGAAACGGCAGTGTCGACATAGCTCTAACTTTCGAAAAGCAAAAGCGACAGCCTTTCTGAAGTGCTTATAGTGTTTAGAAGGGTTGCTTTAGGGGTGGTTATTGGAATGAAATATTTATCTAAGCATAATATTTTACAAGAAAATGACCATGTACCACCCCAGGTCAACTGCTAATTATGCATAAAATAGTTTATATACCTGGCAGAAATTAAATTTTCTTATTTCCAATTCCTGAAAACAAAATATCATGAGATGAAAAATATAATTATTGTGGATTTCCTTAGGATTGTCATTGTTTTCTATAAATATAATATATTTTATTTCACTAACCCCCCACGAAAACACGATTTGAGCTATATTTTTGCCGTCTTGGTTGCTTATTATCGCCAAGTCTCGTAAATATCATCCAGTTGTTGTACTTTTACATAATCGTAAATGGCTAAAGAAGATTTCAAACAAATTTCATCAAGTTGTGAGACAGTGCAGTGTATTTTATCTTCAATATTGTGTCCTTCAATATGTCCTCCATTTTAATGGCTCGCCGCTTCTCTGCTCGATAAATACCACTTCTTCGGCTTTAAATAGTACTTAGATTACAGTATCCAAGAGTACTTCATTGTAGAACAGTCCCAATCGAAAAATTGAGCACATTAGTTGCACTTGAAAGGAAAAACCTCCCATAACATTTGTTGAATGAGAATCCAAAAGACGCAATTTAAAAGTCACGCGCAAGTTCGCGAAAACTCCTCGTGGGCTACATGACAGAGGGGGATGAATATTTTCACGAAACATTTGTTCGCCACCACAGCAACCGAACTAAATATATTAAATATATTATATTTATTGATGATAAAAATACGCAAATATTTATTGTTTTTATCATGTATCATAAAAATACAATAAATATAATATATTTAGTTTGGTTGCTGTGGTGGCGAACACGTTTCGTGAAATTATTCACCCCCCCTCTCTGCCATGTAGCCCACGAGGAGTTATCGCGAACTTGCGCGTGACTTTTAAATTACTTATTTCGGATTCCCATACAACGGGAAGTTTTTTCCTTTCAAGTGCAACTAATGTTTTCAATTTTTCGACTGGGACTACTACTCTACAATGGATTACTTCTGGATACTGTAATCTAAATACATAGGAAGACGAAAAAGTGGCATTTATGGGGCAGAGAAGCGGTGAGCCATTAAAATGGCGGCAATTTGACGAAACATCGGAGGACATAATATCGAAGATAAAATACACTCATGCGCAGTTTCAAAACTTGATGAAACTTGGTTGAAATCTTCTTAACCATTTATCATTATGTAAAATTACAACAACTGGATTATATTTACAAGACTTGGCGATAATAAGCAACCAGACGGCAAAATATGGCTGAAATCGTGTTTTCGGGGGGAGTGAAATAAAATGTATTATATTTATATTCATCCCATATTTTTTTTCAGGAAATAAGAAAATTTAACTTCTGCCAGGTATATAAGCTATTTTATGCATAATTAGCACTTGACCTGGGGTAGTACATGGTCATTTTCTTGTAGAATATTATACTTAGATAAATTTTTCCTTGCAATAACCACCCCTAAAAGCAACCCTTCTAGACACTATAAGCACTTCAGAAAGGCTGTCGCTTTTGCTTTTCGGAAGCTATGTCGGCACTGCCGTTTCAAGGCGGGGTTACTTTCAGGGCTTTCGTCCCGGATTCAGGTTTTAGCACATATGCCAGGTTGACCGCCATCGTCATTTTACCCTAAAACAGTTGAGATTAACTGTGGTAAATAAAACGCATACAAACTCCTATACAGGTGCTAAACTACAAGCGAAAACCAATTATTTTTGTATAAATTCGCTAAGTGCGCACATGATTAATTGGACTGCTTTATCCATCTTGTTCTCTTGCACCGAATGATCAATACTCTTCCCTGACCT